TAATAATAATAAAAGGAGCTTGAAATTGAAAACTCAGAAATGTGGTACATGAATACATCAACAATTCTAGTGGTAGCTGAAGTACTCCGATTGATTGGAAAACGGTCCTGATAGACTCATTGAAGCGATTCCTGGTAGCCAAAGCCTTAAAGAAATACAAAAAACACTGTACTCACAACTACAGCCCACATCTTAAAGACAGCTTATCAATGGTAAATGTGTGTGATCTTGTTTTTGTTTTTTTCTTTTTTTTCCTCAAAAAATGCTCCGTGGAAAATATTTTGTCTCCATTTCTGACCTTATTTCTTTGGTTGCAACCCGGAATGCAATGAGTATATTCCAGAAATCAAAGGAATAATAATAATAATAATAATAATAATAATAATAATAATAATAATAATAATTGTAACGTACATTTAAACAGTTCGGCGCATCATGGCAACAATAATTGCAGTTGTGGTTAGGACCCTGGGTTTGACTGGAGATGGTTCTGATAGAATTATTGAAGGAATTCCTGATAGCCCAGTGCCTTTGAAAGCAAGAAGTCGGGAGAGAGTTCCACAAGCGAGAAGTGCGACATAAGAAACGGATAGCAAGAACTGGAATTACTGTGAGTTAGAGAATATGAGAAAAATTACTATTAAGGAGAGAGAACAACAAAAGAACGAGATTAGAAGACAGAAGAAAAGGATTTACATTGCATTTAAATTTTTGAAGATCAAAGCTAACTGGGAACGAAGAAGACGGAAGAGAGTTTCACAAGCGAGAAGTGCGAGAGAAGAAACTGTTAGCATAGAACTTACGGTTACATCTAGCCAGTTCAACTGTAAAATAATGAGACCGAACTGCCAATTTAGTACTGCGATTAAATTCATAAAGACTTATTTTTGATCATCAAAGTTGATTGGGAAGCAATAAGCCGGAAAAGATTTCCTCAAGCGAGAAGTGCGAGAGAAGAAACTGTTTGCATAGAACTTACGGTTACATCTAGCCATTTCAAATGTAAAATAATGAGACCGATCTTCCAATCTAGTACTGCGCTTAAATTAATAAAGTTTCGGTACGATAGAGGAAAGATAATCAGAATTATCAGGAAAATTATTTATAGAAAAGGCACAGGGAACAACTTTATCAAAATATGGCAACAACCATAAATGACTGCAGGTCGTTAATTCAAGAAGGGAGTAGAAATAAAAAGATTTGAATCTGACATTTTTTTTTTTTTTGCATTTCACTGAAGCAGACGTTAAACACATAAGAGCGTTATCTCGTATCTTCTCCTTCTTTGTTTCTTTCCCTCTTTTCCTTTCTTTTTCTTTATTCTCTCTGACACGAAATAGCGTCCCTGGTATGACTTTTCTGTCTTGCCACCTTTCACCTTTTATTTATATACTAGTGTCAGGGCGTAATGCATGTATTAAGACGTGGGTCTCATGATTATGATTTTGATCTTAAATGATTAGGGTTAGAGTTAGGGTTAGGATTTTAGGGTGGAAAAGAATTTGTCACCCACAAGGTTGGAGAAACGCTTTTGCACTCACTCCAGACTGAAAAATGGTTGGGCAACTCCTACCCATATATTTCAGCAGTATCCAATCTTCGGTGTTATCTGGCTCTTGTAAAGGTACAGGATGAAAGAAGGAGCCAGTTACTTGCTGGATCTGTACCGAGAACCGACCATTTCTCTAGCATCTTTCGCGATGGATCTTAAGTACGCGTTCCACGAGGTCTGAGCTGAATTTAAGTCTCAAGAGACGCTCAAGCCACGTGTGAATAGCAACGCATAAATCCGTCCTTCAAGTTTTGTCTGATTATTTTGATTCGTATTAATTTTTTTTTTGCATCATTGATAACGGTCAAACTAAATTTTTATGTGTATTTCAATTTTTTAGACAACATTCAATATATTTCAAGACATTTTTAAAGTTTATACGTTCTTTTTATAGATACAAATTTTTAAGTAAATTCTCTGTTTATAATAAACAGTATTAACAAAATCTACCAGCCTGAATGTCCGATAAATTTTCATATAAAATATGTGTCCTCCGGTAAATGATGCTAATACTGTATAAACAGAACATTTACTTGTATATTTGTATCTTTAAAAATAACGAATGAACAGAATATATATATATATATATATATATATATATATATATATATATATATATATATATATATATCCATCCAAATATAGTGCAGTGATTTTATAATTTTTAAATAAATAATTTTTTACACACACACACACACACACACACACACACACACACACACACACACACACACACACACATATATATATATATATATATATATATATATATATACAAATAAGAGAAAGGACAAATGGAGTAAAAATTCAGAGTTTGTAGCATTTATATTTTAAAAGTGCTCAGTACAAAGTAGAGCAAAATATTATAGTTTTATTATACGTGATTATAATAAAAACTTTTTAAATCACTATAGAAAACTTTCATGTTTCAATACTATGATTGTACTTACTTAGGCGATCGCCTCAGGAAATACAATCATGGTATAATAAAAATATTCTAATATATATATATATATATATATATATATATATATATATATATATATAGATCATTGCATCCCAAGTAAGGCGATAACGCCACTAAGACGCAAGGGACTAGGAGATGTAGAAGAGAAGAAAAACACTTGAGAATAAATCGGAAACTTTGTCCTAAACATGAAGCAATGGTTAAATCTCTACTCCTGTTCAAAAGGCCAGAGAGAATATAAACTATATATATTACAAATATTGACAACAGCTTGAGTAAAGATCGAATAATCATTGATTTTCTTTTTTTTTTTTCTTTTTCGTCGGTGTCACCCCAAGCAAAACAGTACAGTCACTAGCACGCAAGGGGTTACAGGGTGTGGAGGAATTAGGAATCAGAAACATTAGTAATAAATAAAAAGAGAAAAAAAAATCAATCAAAAGGATAATCGATAACAATTGACATTGCGTTTAAATTTTTGCAGATTAAAATTGGCTGGAAAGCATGAAGCCAGGAGGGAGTTCCACAAACAAGAAGTTAGTTCGACATTCCAACCACCTGAAGAAGGCCGGAGCGTACAACGGCCGAAACGTTGTGATAAATATGGCGACAATAGTCCGAATAATGTAAATAATGTACATAATACCTCATCTCAGAAATATAGACAAAACAATGTTAGTAATAACCCCCCACAAACACTAAATGTGGCACAAATATCAGTTAACTGGCCGAAATCAATGCGGGACTATAATAATATAAAAACTTCATCCCAAGCACTCACACAGACACGCACTCATTCAGACACAACAAGTACGAAAAACAAACAGGCGAAACGAAAGGCGTCCCGCATCCACCAGTGAATTGACATCACTGACCACCTAACGAGGGAGGGGAGGAGAATGAAACTTAAAGAAAAATAGGGACAAAAATAAAAGGCGGCCAATTAACATACATACCCTAGTTAACTGAAAGAAAAACTAAAGCTTCAAAACCTTTAGTGTCTTTTTTCAGTACCATAGTGAAGAGCGCATCGGAACAATTTCCGTGAAAGTATTTATAGAAAAGGCACAGGAAGGCAACTTTATGTTGGTAGGAATACGACTGAAGTTGAGATGCCAGGTCAGGACCAATAATATTGCTGATTCTTTTTTGGATCTTATCAAGGAGCTGCAGATAAATAGCCGGGACACTGGACCATATAGATGGCAGCAATATTCTAAGTATGATGTAAAAAGCTTAATGATTATAGTATAAATAAAAATAATACTGCGGAAAGTGCTGGAGTATAGAAAAGACTTAATGCCTCGCGTTCACCTGAGTAGGCCACCAATTCTTTATTCTATGTAACATGACGAAACGGTAAACATCTTTTGAGCAGAGTGATTTTTTTTATACAGTCGCACCTTCCGCAGTATTCTGAGTTCAATAACACTTACGTCCGGTTGCTTTCGATTCTTTCCTTAAAAAAATAATAAGAGAAGACTTATATATTAGAGAACTATCCGGCATTGAGTAATTTTCAACGTAACCCTTCCACCTCGTTGCGTTCCGTCGACGCCATTGTGAAATATCGGGTCACGGTGCTGCTATGGTTTTCATAACAAGTAAGATTTTACAAGATGAAGCTTCTAGCCTCATGTCCAACCGGTTTTCTACCCGGTTTTAGCTAACAAAACCTGCCGTTCTCAAATGGTCCCTCATCTAGTTAGTAACTGGGCTTAACCCTGCTTAACTTCGGTGAAGTGGTGTTTCAGCTTGATTTTGCTGTAAGCGCCAGAGATGTTAGTCTGGTTAAATATTCCTACTGAGTAATGAGTTCGATACTCACAAGGCGACTCATCAACATTCGCCATTAAATGTCCCAACAAATGTTGATATGTCAAATCAGTCAAGATAAGCAAGTGGGCGACTCGGTGTGAGGGTTAGGTTTAGGGTTAGGGTTAGCAAGTCTTATCTCGTTGAGCCTGGCCCTCACAGGATGCCGCAAACAAAATTTGGATTAAATAACCCAAGAACATTTGGTATAACATAAAATCAACCTAAACAGGGGCTTCAGCTAATTTGCAGTGTGTTTGATTCTTACTATGTGCTCTATACTTAAACTGACACTAAATAATCCAACAAGGCTTGGCATGTTGTATAATCAACCAACCTAACTAAATAGGAACCCCGTAAAGTCTGGTTGACCATTGCTACTGACTAATGCTTTTGGTTCTCACTGGGTGCCCCATAAAAACAGACATTAGATAACCCAACGATTGACATGTCATAAAATCAACCTAAGTAAAAAGAAGCCTTGACATGGAACAATAGTTAGCAAAGTTTCTCTGGTTGATAATTACGACTGAGTAGCGAGTTCGATACTCAACGTTTGCTGCCTAAAAGAATTCACTATTAAATACCCCAACGATGGTGAGGTTAATCCTCACAGAGTGTCCTATTTTAAATTTAGCATTAAATAAAGTAACACTTATAATCTAAATGATTAAAGCGAAACAATCCGGAAAGAAAATAAGGCCAGATTTGGATGATGAGGAACAGTTTTACACTGGGAATTGTGCAAATGATTCAGGTCCATCCAAACAGATATATTATATAAAAAATAACTGCGGAGACTGTAAGAGAAAGTGCAGGTACTGAATTAATCTGCAACTTTGAGATCCAGTCATATCGTGGCATCCAAGCAAATGGTCCACCCTCTTGCTTGAGTTGACGACAGAACGAAGATTTAAAAAAATGTACCAAGACTCAACTCGGGAAATGTAGGAGTTCGATTTGTGGCCACAATAATTGGGAATCTGGAAGCGTTTCCAGAGATTCTAGAGGCGAGATTGGTGGATTCCAGAATCCGTAGACAGTAACAATGGAACCAGTGATCGGGCTGCCTTAGGGCGCGGGAGATAGATGTCTTTCTTTCACTCGATCCCTAATTACATCCACCTTATATCCTTCATGTAAACATTCAAATGAATAATAATAATAATAATAACGAGATAAAGAAGAAGAAGAAGAAGAAGAAGAAGAAGAAGAAGAAGAAGAAGAAGAAATATTCTTACCGATTATCTAATTTACAAAGGCTCAAGGGTTGACCAGGTTAAGAAAATTATCCGTTTGTTTTGGTTTCAAAAAATGTTATTATCTGTTGCTTTATTTTTTTTTGTCTGTAATTTTTCTTTTTCTTCTTAGGGGTCCTAGTCTGTCTTAAATCTCCGGTTTCCTGAAAACATAACATCTTACGGCAAGCAGTTGGTGTTTGGCACGATAAGTGTAAGATTAACGCCTTTGACGCCATGCAGACGTGATCAGGCCATGAATTGTAGCTGGAGTTTCCAGTGTTGTCACTTAGCAGTTCCCAAACATATCTACGAAATACCCATGTATCGTATGCTAGTTTTAGTTTCGTTTCGTGATAATTTTTATTTTCACTTTGTATTTGTTTAAATTTTTTGACGTCTTTTTCCCCCTAAATATCAGTCTATCCATCCGTCTACCTATTTGCCTTTCTCTTTTCTTATACATGGATAAGCACATGGAAATGTGAGATGGCGGAGCTGGAGTGGGCACATGTAGTTAACAGAATAAGAGTAATTGGGGTGTATGATGTCGATGCTATAGAGGGGAAAACCCGTCAAGTAGAAGGCAAAATACAAGAAAATGCGCATTAGTCTATCTTTGATTTCTACTTGAATTGAAAACGACAAAAAAGATCTGATTGTTTCGAAGACTCTTTTTTCTGACACATCTGCATTCAAATAGCTTAATCTGTTCACATCTATCTATCTATCTATCTATCTATCTATCTATCTATGTCGGTCTGTTCATATCTATCTATCTATCTATGGACAGTTCTCTCTCTTTTTGTCTCTCTCTCACTCTATCTATCTATCTATCTATCTATCTATCTATCTATCTATGGAGATTTCTCTCTCACTTTATTTATCTATCTATCTATTGTGATATATCTGTCTTATCCTATTCATATCTATTCAAATCTATCTATCTATCTATTTGTTCATTATCTATCTATCTATCTATCTATCTATCTATCTATCTATCTATCTATCTATGTCATTTAATGTTTGTATCTGCCTGCTATTCATTTACGAAATAAATATTTTTACTTGTTTTTTTTCTTTTTCCTTGCTCTTTCTTTCTTTCTTTTTCCTTGCTCTTTCTTTCTTTCTTTTTCCTTTCTTTCTTTCTCGTGTACTTATTTCTTTATCTTAATGTCCTCGTCCTCATCTTTCACCATTACCAAACCTCTTAATATATGTTCTTTTATATCTTTGTTCTTTTCTTTTCGCTTTTAACATACCTTATTTCTGTACATATATTCATTTTTTTCCCTTGAATATTTTCGATGATTCGATTTTTTACTTCGATTCAACTTTCTTTCATTTTCTTAGCAAAAAGCCAAATATATATATCTCTCTCTCTCACTCTCACTCACTCTCTCTCTCTCTTTCGAAATTATCACTCTCACATCAGTCTCTCGTCTACTACTCTATATCTTTCTTTCTCTCTCTCACTCTATATCCCTTTCCCATCCACCTCTCTTTTATTTCCTTTTTTTCTACGATCTATATCTCTCTATATGTCTGTATCATTAACTCTCTCTCTCTCTCTTTTCTTTGTCTTATCGTTCTTCCTTCTTTATCTCTTTGTTGTCTTGTCTTTCTCTTTCCCTTATACACTTCTACAGCTGTTCTCATTCCTTCCATCTTTGTACCAATTTTCTCTACTTCTTTTCTCTATCGCCTCAAAGACTGATTCATTTTGTTTTCCCTTTCTTCCCTGCTTCTTTTCCCATTCTTTGAAACTTCTTTGCCATAGAGTTTCAACTTGCGTTTGGATTTCTCGTCTCTTTTCGCTTGCATTACTTTGCACTATGCCATCTTTCTTTCCATGCTAAATCACGCATGCGCACTCTTACGAATACGAGCAGCGAAGTAGAAAAAAACCTCATCGCCATTTTGTTTTCATTGTCTCTTTTTTATCTTAGCTATATTAGTTTTCCCGCCTCTGCACTTACATTAACATAAAAACTTCGTTTTTTATACTTTTTTCTTTTTTCGGAGAGAAAGTATTTTTTTGCTAAGTCCTTGTTATCTTATTCCCATTTAAACTGAAAAAAGTGCTTGTTGGTTTTGGGCGTACGTACGTTTTTGTTAGTCTTTCAAGCATTTAAGATCTTTCGATTCGTTTAATTATTCATCTATTTTTACAAGCAAAAACCGTTTTCTGCCTTTTCTGTCTTCACTCAAAAGCAGTAAATGCTAAAAACGTGATGCTTCCCATATTCTAAAGACTAAGACTCAAATGCTTTTTACAGCCACACACACACACACATATATATATATATATATATATATAGATAGATAGATAGATAGATAGATAGATAGATAGAGATAGATAGATAGATAGATAGATAGTAATGTATAAGTAGACAAAATATGTCTATATTATTCAATGAAATATATACAGTGTGCGATGGGTAAATTGTCGCCATATTATATTTTTATTTTCGCGCATGCGCATTGTTTGTTTTAGATTTTGTCGGCTGCACGGTATAGTAGGATCAGTTGGGCGACATCTGTAAGAAAAAGAGCACAGACATAATTCACTCCGCCAAAAATTTGGAAACGGCATCCTGAAATGCTTGGCATTCGCACCGGAAGCTCCAATACGAACATTTCAGAGCGTTTGTTTGTCAACCTGTGAATAGCGCAGTGGATTCGGAAAGAGTTTGATGAGTCTAATGATGATTACGAAGGTGTTTGGAGTGATCACAAATGCCTCCATTTTTCTTCTGCAGGTGAGAAATGTGAGGAAAGAAACTGTCAGAGTAGAAGCGGCAGTTGAACACTAAAATAGTGAGACCTAATTGCCAATCTAGTAGCACGCTTAAATTCGTGTAGTCGGGCACAAGGAAAATCAGAAGAGTTCCCATGAAAATATTTGAAGAAAAGGCAAAACGTAAGCCACGTTACGTCGATTGAAGTCAAGATGCCTATTCAGGATTGATAATGCAGTAGAATCCCTAACAACATGACTAAGAAGGCCTTCCGGATATGAGGAATTCGTTACAAAGTCCGGACATGAGGGGTTATATTTAGATTAAAATAAAAGAACTGTAATCAGGTTTAACATTTATTTTCAGTGTTTTATAGTGGACAAAATAAGCTAATAGTGAATGAAATATAACGAAATTGATTTTAAGGAAAAAGAAATAAATTATTTAATGTTAATGAAAATTCATTAACTTAAGTATGCCACGTATGCAAAACAAATAATGTAACGAGGATTTTTTAATCGCTGTTGCATGATGATTCTTTCTCTTCTAATGCCATTCTCAACTTTTTTCGCATTTCGTTTTGCTTTTGTTCATGAAAGTTTTTAAATGAAAGACACTTTTTTTTTAACTCTGCGTGCGATTTTGCAATCGACATAGCTGAATGCTGGTTTTCTTTCCATAAAACTGACAACCTTTTTAATAGCTTTTTTACTTTCAGTCCAGGTTTTATCACAATCATGCATCTCGTTGCTATCTTGTTGCAAATGTGTCTCGTTTTCATACTTTCCTCTTATTCCCATCATCTTTTGCACCAATACACGCCATTAGGGTGAAATATACATAAGCAATTATCCAAAGTAAATTACCTGAAAAATAGAAATTTCACATCAGATAGATATTACCAAAATAGTTCAAATATACACATCAAAATAGTGTCCGGATATGCAGGATTCCGGATATGAAACATTCCGGATATGAAACATTCCGGATATGAGGCACTTTGGAATGAGGGATTCTGGATATTAAAGCTTCTACTGTATTAGAGACCCTTGTTTGGATTTTGACAAGAATCTTGTGACGTACAGCAGGAACACCAAACCACATATAGCAACATTATTCTATGCACGGACGAATGGTGGATTTATAAATGTAAAGGATGGATTCAGACGAGGTGGGGGGACTTACTGGCGCGATACATTGAACCGTCGTTCCCCGCGGTAGATATAGTAATTGATTCTATTTAGTCACTCTACTTCGTGTCAGTGGAAAAACGTGTGGCCAAGAAGGCGTATAGTGTTGCTCTCCTGGAGTGTAGCATCAGCTATGGTGATAACTGGCAGAAAGCTTCTCTGCGCATTACTACATTTCCTGGTTTTCGGATTGAGATCAAAGTGTAGTAAATGTTCTCTTCATATCTAGTGATAATATTAGCCCTAATTAATAGATGAAAACAGTCGGCATTTAATAATCGAATAGACTTTTCTAGTGTCGACGGAAATTTATAAAACCTTATTACAACAATAACTGTTGTCGCTCTTTCTAATGTGTTGATATATATATATATATATATATATATATATATATATATATATATAAATGTATATATATATATATATATATACACATATATATATATATATATATTTAGTTGGATTGTTGTGAGTTTGTGACCCTGGGTTTCACGCTATTTGCGATCTTCAGACAAAGAGTTTTCCATTATATATATATATATATATATATATATATATATATATATATATATATATATATATATATATTATAAGGTTTAATCTCCCTCTTCCTCATTTTTACACTCTCTAAATTCTGTTTTAATTTCCGCAGTTGTTTTTTCTGTTTTCTTTTTGAATTTGTAGGTGTGATGAATTGGATCGTATTTACGATTCCAATGGAATAAATTATGACCATGGAATATTAGTGTTTAAGCCTTTTTATTATATCCTTACTCTGTCCTGGACATTGAGTTCTACCTGGTTTCTTCCTCCTGGAATTTTATATTCTAACAATATACATGTATGGGTATTTATATATTTTGCATATGTATGTATATTTACCACTAATATTATCTCTCTCTCTATATATATATATATAGTGCGTGCCAAATTATTATCGAGATAATAATTTGGCACGCTCAAATCACTGTGCCGATAACAAATATGGCGCCAGTTTGTTTACATTGCGAAGATCAGTACGAAAATTTCATTGATTGCGCAGGTCAATGTTGCAAACATTGTGTGAAAATTTTGTGTGAATTGATTGGATGGTTTTTGAAATATTATAAAAAAAGTTATCTCGATAATAATTTGGCACACAGTGTATATATATGCCCATATTTCGGCAGCATTTCATTGAGACATGTTTCGTTGAATAATTTAGACATATTCTATCATAGGATCCTTTCAGATTCGCGGATAAGATTTTTGGTTTAATCATTGAAGGAGAAGAGAAAATCGCCATGTTCATATATATTATTTATTTAGTCCGAGTACTTTCGACATATCAATATCATCATCAGGTTATTGTTTATTTCAAGATAAATATTGTAGTGTTCATTATTGTCAAAGACAGAATTGTTGTGTTTATCTGAAAGTGAAATTTCTTAAAGTGGAGCGAGGAACGCGGTGTCAGAGCGTGACCGCTGAAACCGTTTAAGGGGAGGTAACTAAGTATGGTTTGGGGAGTATTACGAAATGAGTAGTAAGAAGAGAGACTATTAGTGCAAACCTTGGTATTTCAAACTATCTGTTGTACACATTTTAAAATATTTGTGGAGTATTCATCATTAATTTTATTAAGGTTTGGCTTCAATATTTTAATCTCGGTAGCTCCGAGAACTTTTAGTTTATGTTTATTTTCAACAAGGATTTTCTGAATTGCGAATGTGGACAGGTATGTTGTGGTAAATGTTTAGAAATGTTGGACATATTATTCAAATGAAAATTTATTCGCCGAGACAACGTTGTTGTAGTGTGTCCAATATAAATATTATTTTTACCGTGGGGGATACAATCTCCCAGAGAACATTTAAATTTATAAACCATGTTGGTTTTCTGCAACACGCTAGTGGGCGGTAGAAACAATATTTATGTTGGATATATTATATTATTATTCAATTTATAAAAAATCCTTATTACAACAATAACTGTTGTCGCGTTTTGGAATGTTGATAAAAGAATTTTTCATAAATAATTTACGCATTACAATAATATAGACATGATTTTATTAGTATATAACGGTCCACGTAATATTTATTTGATTTTTCAACTTTAATATCTATTGTGGCCAAGTAATTTGTTAAGAAATAACAAAACAAAAGGTTGCAGATAAATAGTGCATTGAACAGTAAATAAAACAGAAGTGTGTTAGACGGCTTGGGAATGTGTTTCAGTTGACCAGCATTCAGTATATATCACTGTTAAATTCAGTCACCTGATCCGCTACAAGGGCACAAGTGACAAAAGGCTGGGTTTAAAGTGGGTCATCCGAGAACGTAGGCTCGGCCCCAAAACTTCCGTAGAACCCGCATAAACGTACTCGGGTCTATCTACCTCCAAGGACGAAAGTCTGCCCTTTGGCACAGCGTCGTCCGGGTTCCTCTCTGCCCAAGACAGAGAGTCCGACAGAATCTGCGAACCGTCACATCCTCGATAGAACAGTCTATATCACTGTTCCCCGGAAGCTTACGTTTCCTGCTAACTTTATAGTAAATGGAAGAGTCCACAAAATCCTCATTATAGGAAATACACCACAACAATATATATATATATATATATATATATATATATATATATATATATATATGTCTGATGACAGGATAACTAGGATCCTAATGTACAGCCAGTTAGATCAGAGCTACAGGAATGTAGGACGCCCTTGGCTAATATACAAAGACAAGCTGAAAAGCAACTTGTCAGCAGTTAATATACCACATAACACCCTTGAGCGCTTAGCTTTGGAGCAGGTAGAATGGAGATCAACGTGTTTTAGTGGACTCAGCAATTTTCAATTTGCTTGTCTGAATCATCTTCAAGAAG